GTGTTCACACCCCTTAACAAAATGGGATTGTTGAACGCAAGAACCGACATTTAGTTGATATCGCTCGCACCCTATTATTACACTCACATACACCCCCTCAATATTGGGCTGATGTTGTGCTCACTGCGTGTCATTTAATAAATAGAATGCCTTCCTCGGTACTTAATAATGAAATTCCATATTCTGTCTTGTTTCCTAGTCGTGAGTTATTTCCATTTCCACCTCATGTGTTTGGGTGTGTGTGTTTTGTCCATGATACGACACATGGCCTTTCTAAAAAGTCAACTAGGTCAATAAAATGCATCTTTCTTGGATACTCACGACTCCATAAGGGTTATCGTTGTTATTCTCCTTTACTTAGAAAACATTTTGTTTCAGCCAATATCACTTTCATTGAGTCTTCCTTCAATTACCCATTATCTTCAGTTGATACTCCATCACGTTCGGACTTCATATTATATCTCCGACTCATCCCCCATCCAGGTACTCCTATTTCCCTCCCATCTGATGAGCACCTAAACTGCCCTCCTATGTCAGATCGACCATTACAGGTATACCATCGACGTCCTTGACCTCCTCCCATTGAGCCCATCGTGGCCACGCCCGTTGATTCCCCTATGACGGATCCTGCATCACCACCATCACCTACTCCAGCACTTGAAACTACTCAGGATGATTTGCCCATTGCCCTCCGAAAAGGTACACGTTCCACATTGAATCCAACGGATCAACTTACAGATCTTTTAACTAAGTCTCTTAGAGGTCCTAGAGTAGAACATATTTGTAACAAGCTTGGTACATATGATTTATATGCTCCAGCTTGAGGGGGAGTGTGGAAACCCTAGTTGTATTAGGCTCAAACTTTTTTAAAGCGAAAAGCGTCCAAAAGCGATGACCTTGGGCTTTGCTTAAAAGCGAAAGCGCTAAGCGAAGCGTAGCTTTCTCACAAAAAGCGATGCTTAAAAAAATAAAAGAAAATATAAAATATAATGTATAATTATGCCAAAAATGCATTAGTAGTCATAAAAGTCATTCAAAATAATACTAGTGCGGCATAAAGTTTCAAAACCTTCATCACACAATTACGCAAAAACACATAACTAATCATACAACATCCAAGCCTTAGTCCCAAAAAATATTGGGGTCGGCTAACATGAATCGATACATGATATCACAACCAAAAGGAAAAGAAGGAATACAGATAAAAAGATAAGCTATTATGAAAAGATAATATAAAAAAAGATGAATATATATATAAATGATAAAATAAAAAGGCTGCAAATAATGCTTATATATATAAGGATAAAAAAAACTAGGAAAAAAAGATGAGGGAAAAAGATTATCAAGATCACTCCTTCACGTGAATACCCGCCCTCCACTTAGTTCTCTCCAAAGTCTTTCGATTCATGTCATGTGATGTGACTAGGTGATACTGTTGGCCGTCACACGCCTACCACATCACCCTCCTCCTTTATCCTGGCTTGAGACAGGCATGATACCAAAAAAATGATATCATGGCGGAGTTACATAACTAATCATAAAAGTCATAAATTGGAATGAAAAAAAAATTAATCAATAAAGTGAAAGGAATAAACTGGAATAAACAAAAAAGTTATTATTCAATAAACCGAAAGTAATAAACTGGAATTTAATTTAGCTCCGCATACATTTGAGTAACTAACTACTAATGTGAAGACATAATTTACTACTAATGTAATTTTGGACGCGATTTTCACTATGGGTCATCCGGAAACACTCTCTGTGCTTTAGTACAGGGGTAAGACTGCGTACATCCGACCCCCCTTACCTCACCGTATGTGGGAGCCTTTGCGACACTAGGGTAAATGAAATGAAATGAAATTCTTGATAGAATAATAAGTACAATTACTAGTTACAACCAAGAAAATGATTTCATTCTTCAACAAAAGGCATTAGCTATCGATGCTTTCATTATGATATACTCCGTAAAATTTAGCTGTTTAAAACTATCATAATTACCAAGAAAATGATAATATAATGATTTCTTTCATTCATATTATATATATATATATATATTATAGGCTATTTTAGAAGCTTATTATAGAAATAGAGTAAACTGTAAAATTGAAACAGAGTAAAGTGAGCTGCAATAGTTCAGGGCTCCAACTACAATCACGTAAAATTGAAGAACGATGATGAAATAGAATGATGGTGAACCTGCGCAGCACCGGCGAGAAAGTCTGGGAGAACTACTCTTCTTCACCTACGAGTCGCGACTTGGAAACATCGGTGACCTGGGAGAACTCCTCTTCGGCTCTTCACCTGCGATTTCTTCAGCGTTTCAGCTATGTCTGGACTCTGGAGTACGGCTATGTCTGGAGTGGGAAAGAGTCGAACAACCCTAACTCGTAGCGTCTATAGATGAGAAGACCAAATTTTAAAAAAAAATTGACCGGTAAATTAACCGCTTTTTGTGAGAATCCATGAAAATCGATCGCTTTTCATTAAGCGAGCTCAAGGAAAAGCGCTGGAAAAGCTTCGCTTTCTCATGGCGCGGCGCTTCTCAAAAGCCAGGCGCAGGTTTAGCGCTCGCCTGCGCTTTGTCGCTTTTAGGCGCTTTTCACCGCTTTTGACAAGTTTGATTAGGCTTAGCCCATTTTGTATAGGAACCCTAATACTCTAATATAGATATAAATTTAGCTACTTGTATAGCTTTTTTTGGATATGAAGAATAAGAATATAATCATATTTCACAAATACAGGTCTCAAGAAATGCTTTCGCCACGTTCATGTTTTCCAACTTATTTTACATCTTTTTATTTTTTTATTTTCAGATTCGTCACGATGTTTCATACCTAAAGAATGAAATACATATGACCCAATTTTTAAAAAATGCTAAATAAAATTGGTGTTGTGTATGAACAGATCTATCCTACATTCCTACCACTGTACCACACAATGACACGAGGCATTTCCTTACGAGTCCTATACACGTGAGTTTATGAACACTCCAACTTCGAATAGCAACTAAATACAAGTAAAAAAACATTAAAAACAAGCACGCCGAACATTAGATGATTAAGAACTTCCCACCTTTTTTTAAATAAATAATGAAAATGTAATCTATTTCACACCAAGTTAAAAGTTGTACACATGTCTGTAATTTTCTCCATTAGGATGAGGTAGGCAGAGCATTACTTACTAATCAAATTATCAAAGTTTCCAAACTTCAAAACAGAAACAACGTTTTCTATCTGTAGTTCACAGATCAAGCAAAAAGATCAGAAAAACATTTCAATAAGCATTTTGTTCCAGATTTTGTGTTGAAAACTCACCTCTTCAGCAATAAAAAATGATCAAGCTCATAAACAACAATGTGAGATACTAGTTCACAAACAGTGAAATGTAAATCAATAAAAAATAAGTAAAATTTCTCCAATTTGACAGCATTAATATAGTTTAGTATAATTTGACAGCATGGGTATACTTTGGGACTATGCTTAAGAGTATGAAAATGAATCTATAAACATCCCCATAACAAATAAGCAGAAAACCGTAGCATCAACCACAAACTATTTGATATACAACCTAAGATTTTATAATATGCCATACTTAAATGAGTTAAATTCTACTCCCTCCGTCCCATTGGACTTTGCCAACTTTCCCGTTTTAGTTATCCCAAAAAACTTTGCCACTTTCCTATTAAAGCAACTAATTTGTGGTTCTGCACATTTCTCTCTCCTCTGCACAAATCTCAACAACACAGTTTTTACTTTTCTTATTTCTCACCTACTTTGCACTTGGCAAAGTCCACCGGGATGGAGGTAGTAGAAATTTGACCAAAATATATAAATAGAGTGAATACCAGAAAAATAAAAACTGGTTTGCATAGGCCTTATCAGCAGTTCACGGCTTTCACATGGAAGAAGTCATCAATTTTTGCATTCTTCTCCCACAATGAGTAAAAGCAGCGAATTTACCAGAAAAAAAACTGGCATGAACCAGCTAGACCTTACAAGCTGTTTACGGCTTTCACTGGGCACAAGCCATCGATTTTAGCATTCCTTATCCCTCAATTTGTAATGGAGTGAATTTACCAAAAAAATAACTGATTTACCCTTACAATCCTTTGATGGCTTTCACATGGCAAGAGCCATCAATTTGTGCATTCCTCTCGGCTCTCCCTCAATTTGTATAATTTCAAAAATCAGAATGAGAATTGAAAAGACTAGTTCTCTCTACACAAAATAACAAGGAGCTTAACTCGCTACAGGAAACTTCAAGCGCTAGTTGAGCCTTCCTTTTATCTAAGAAGGGGGGTTTAGAGGCTTTTCTATAGCTTAAGGAGAAACTCTATTATATAAAAACATAAAACCCGTATAGAATGAGAGGTAATATCGAAATGAATGAGGTAGAGGATGGGAGCCTTCACTGCCTAGCTCCGATTGGCAAAGCTCACCCGTTTCTTGAGAGCATGGTGATGTCGGCGTGATATGTCTTGGAGAAGCGATGAATTATTGAGAGGGAGAAACCGGGGTTAAAAATGAGACTCCTCGTACGCAGATATGTGTTAACCGTAAGGAGTGCTAAAATTGGGCTGAGTGAATAAGTCACATATGATCTGACCGAATAAGTCATTTTTTCCATTAACTCGTAAGTAAACACGACTATATTGTTGGGCGATTAAGTGGTGGATTCAATTAAGTCCATTAAGTCGTAAGTAAATGAGGCCTTAATTATGGTTGCTAAATAATAATCAAACCATAGTCGGACCTGACTCTGATACATTTTATTGTTTTATACCAATCCGGTGTGGAACAAATATTTCAAGAGGTACAATTGTTATTGTAGTATGTGCGCTCATACTTGGTGATAGTACTTGTCCTGATTAACAAAGCATAAAGTTTTTTTCCCAAAAGGTCGCGTTGCATATTCATTCCCAACATTGAGCAGTGTATTACTTCTCATTTTGGGCTATGGTAGCAGGGTTTTTAACTTGGTAATTTTGCTTTCTTGACCAGGTTGCTGTATTTATGAAATGGCTGCACATCGGCCTGCTTTTAAAGCTTTTGTAAGATTATTTATACTTGTTTATTTATATGTTTCTTTTGGGTGCCAATTTTCTCAAATTGATCTTAAATTGTGACTATTGTATAACCACGACTTTTTGTGCAACTATCGTCAAGGTTATATGTAGCTCGCTTAGAGTGTTAGCGTGTTAGGTTATGCTATAGTGCAACTCTATTTGAAAGGTAAATATGCACTAAAATCATGAGAGGAACAAAGGGCTTAACCTGAAATGTAAAAAGATAAAGCATTTCCGTATCATCTTTGCTCACATATGGTTAATTTTATGTACCTCCCCGAGGTTTGGTCAAATTACTTAATGGTTCTCACTTCTCGCTGTTTTTAAAAATTACAAACAAGTCCCTTCAAAGTCATTTTTCTCGAAAATGGCCTATTTATATGGGAGAACTGCAGAATAAAATAATATTAACAAGAATTTGCGTTCAGATTGAATTTAGTGTTTTCTGCGCAAGTATTGGAAAATGTGTTTAAAGTTTTCTCTAAAAATTACTGTGTTAGAGACAACTTAATTACTACTAATATTATCACATCCTATCACTGTTAAGTGTTGTTTACGGAAAATCTTACTCCTGAAAGAACTTATTTTTAATTTTTAGAGGCATCAAGGTCAATTTGGCATTTTAATGGGTTAGACCATTCCTTTGGGGATGGGAGGTAGTTGTAATAGCTCTTGCAATGAAGTGCACCTTTTGGATGTGTGTTGTCATGTCTTGGTCTATGTGTAATGGAGAAGTCAATATTCATCCTTACAGAAAATCTTCCGCTTTTGGCATTTGATTATTTGTGTTGGTCATGCACTATTATGGTTCAGGACATGGCAGGGCTAATAAGTAAGATTAATCGGTCTTCCATTGGGCCTCTTCCTACATGCTATTCTCCATCCTTGTAAGACCGTCTCTATTAATAACATTTGCATTCTTTCAATGACTGTAGTTTCCATCATTTGTATGTTGTTTTTTTGGGATTTTGAAAGTTGTTGTTAAGATGTAAAATCTGGTTGATAGAGTATATATTCTTGAGAGAAGTGAGAGCTAGAGAGAGAAGTGCAATAAATACCTGCAATAAATGATTTGTCAACCCCCTACAACTACTCCCAAGGGGAGTATTTATAGAGGAAATGCGGGTTGAGCTCCCAAGTCTTGGGCTTGGGAGGCACATTTACAATTGGACCACTACTGGGCCGGGTACAAAGTATGTAGAAATGACTAAGTATGAAATTCGGTTCTGGGAGCTCTCTGTGGCCGATGAGGGTCTGGCCGACGGAGCCATGACCGACGGAGTCCCGGCCGACGGGGGCACCCGGTTCTCCTGGCTTCTGGACCATGTTCTGAGTTGATATCTTTCTGGCCGATGGAGGGCCATCTGGCCGATGGAGGCCCCACCGAGTGACAGTTATGCCTCTTATTCTTCTGATTATGCGGGTCCTGGGGTCTAGACCCATATACTCCATAAGGAGTCCCCACTCTCTGAGCTGAGTCCCTCACTCTCTGAGCTGAGATGTAGACGAAGTGAGGGAGAGTAGATTCCCTAGTCTTGATGTTTTCTGGCCGTTCTCTGTTCTGGCCGTTGTGGCCATTTCATGTTTTGGTTGTTCTTTGCATTTGGCCGTTGTGTGCCCTTCGTTGTGGACGAAGGAGGCTAATGTTCTTCTGATGATGTATGTTTGCTTATTTGAGGACGACGAGTGTCCTGGCTGGGTGGCCGATATGCGTCTTTGACTTGAATGGTTGATGACAGTGATGTTTACCCTCTTTTGTCCGTTGGTGGTTGCCTTTTGTGATTGCCTTTGGCCGAGGAGGCCCTATAATTGCTTTTCATATTCTAGGCCGAAGCGATGATATTCGTAGTTTAGTGTCCATGGCTTTGAGGACGATAATGGCACCGGACCAAAGGACGTTGTGTGTCCTTGGTCTTATCTTGGCCGAGAGTGGAGTACATGATCTCAAGGCCGTTGAGTGGCACGCGTCGAGGGACGACATGTGTCACGTTTTGGGAGGTGAGTCTTTGCTTCCTTTTTTGCTTACGTTGTTGCGGCCGAGGGTGCACCACCAGGTCCTGGACGTTATTGTTCATGGATGATACAGTGTTGTAGTTGTGGACTTGTGCGTTTTTGGATTTTCAACTTTGTCCTTGTGTGCGTTTAGAGGCTGGTGTAGTCCCCCAGTCCCCCACTGCAAAAGGCCGAAGAGTGAGTGAGGGGTGAAGGAGTAAGGTGTAACCCCAGGCCGTAGCGGGATTCTCGTATTCCCCTGAATCCAACCCTTGGCGATTCCTGACCAAGGTATAACCCTGTGGGAGAATCCCTGGACGCAGGTCGCTTTCAAGAAATTATTATCAAGATTTTATACGAGGCCGATGGCTGTTAGGTTCTTTTCCACCTTGTTTTTTGTGGCCGTTGAAAGAGCCTCGCTGTTGGTAGCGTGTTATGCTATGGGCACACTTTGAAATGGGACCAGCCGTTGAAACAATTTTTGGCTACTAGGGCCGACGTAGTCGTGTCCTGTGAGCGTGGAGGCTCACATCTCTTCTTAGTGTGCCCGTTGAATAGCTTGGCCGTTATGGATGCTGCTTGCTGGTACGTTGGAAGTGGACTGGTAATGCTGGAAATGGGCCTGACCCATCTTCTGAACCGGTGACACCTTATTGGGCCTGGAGGTGGTGGCCGTTGGTGTGGCCAATGGGAAGGTGCCACGTGTAGTGACCGTTGGGGGAGGTCTATAAATACCCCCTCCCGAAGGAAGTCCCCCATTTGCATCCTGAGCTAATGAAGTGCTTCCCAAATTTCTAGAGAGAGAGCTTGCTCGAGTGTTCTTCCGTTCTTCAAAACTTTAAAGGTGAGTTCATCAAACCTTTCTCCGCTTTCTTGCATGCTTTGCTTCCTTAGACTTTGATCTAGTGTTAGTCCAAAAACCGCCTTTAGATCTGAAGTAGATTCCCTTAGGGCTTTAGTAGTTGTTATGATGAAGACCTTAGACGAAGAGTACTACCCTTACGACGATGAGGCCTCTACCAAGTCTCTTGATTATGGAGTGGTGGAGGAGTTTTGTGAGGAGATACAGAACTTGAGCTTCTTCAAATCAGGGGAGTAGGAGGACGACGAAAATGCAGACAAGGAGGCCGCCTCATCATCTGAGGGTGAGGACGTAGGCGTCTCCCGTGCCGTGGACGGAGCGTCTACTTCGGCCACCATTCCTTGCCCGAAGCCAGTTTTTGCCGTTAAAGGGACTGCCCCGTCGAAGAGGAGGCGCCGGCCGAAGAAAGGCCCAGCTTTCTCCTACTTGGATCTCACCAACGTCCTTATTATTAGGCCGCAGAGCAGCGCAACCGAGTATTTGGTTGCCCAGATGTACGTGAGGCCGTTTGGTAGGGTCAGAGCCCCTAAGCCAACAGACCACGTACTTCGTCCTTCGCTGGGTTAGTTTGGGGTATACCCCATGAGCTTCGCTAAGGGGCTAAGGTTCCCCCTTCATCCATTCATCACGGAGTATTTGGATATGGTGGAGCTTCCTTCGGCCCTGTTGACCCTGAATTCTTACTCACTGATCGTCGGGTTTCTGCTGCATTGCGATGAGTTGGGTTTTACGCCGACGACGGAACTCTTCATGAACCTGTACCAGATTGGCCGGGGCAGCCACAAGAATTGTGCCGGCTATGCCAACCTTCAGCAGGTGAAGGACAAAAGGATCTTCACTGACCTTCCTACGTCCATCCGTGGATGGAAGAGCAAGTTTGTGTTTGTATCGTTGGGCGAAGGGGGTACAAAGTTCCCTTCCCTCGGCCATACAGGAAGATTCAGTCTTCATGATGCGGCGAAGAGCGCGCTCATTGATGCCCAGGTGGAGGCGTTCCAGAAGGGTGGGCCGAGGAGCGTGAAGGAATACATCACGGAGTATAAGATGGCCGCCCTCGGTTTCGTGAGGTATTTTGTGTACGAGTATGCAGAGGACACGTTGAGATAAGGCCGAAGATGACCACCACCTTTGAGGAGGTCGATGGCTCGGATTTGGGCGTGCCCGCCGAAGCCGATGGTAATACCCTCCTAGGCCACCTTGTTCCCATTTTGTTTCCTTTCTTTGCTAACGTTGTTTGTGTCCTTTGTTATGCAGACTTTGTGATGGATCGCCGACCCGTTATGAATAGGGCAAATGCAAAAGTGGCCGCTGAACAGGCTGCCAAAGATGCTGAGAAGCTGGCCGCGGAGATTGGAGCACAGCCGAGCTCCGACCAGTCGAAGAAACCGCCCACCCAGCCGAAGAAGAAGCGGCCGTTGGATGATGGTCAGAAGAAACTTACAGAGGCTGGCTTGCAGCCCCCCAAGAAGTCGAAGAAGACTTCTCCCTTGACCGATGCTGACGTCGGGGCCCTGGCCGTTCCAGTCGGTGATGTTGGAGGCTCCGGTGCTGCCGCCGTAGTGGACCTGACATCTGTTCCTTCGTCCACTATTGTCTCCCAGCCTCCCCCTATCGTCCAGGACTCCCGGAAGAAGAGGGCCGGGAAGGAGTTGGTCACGGGGACCTACAAGTTGGAGGTTGAGTACCCTGTGAGGGGAGGCATCTTCAACGAGGTTGTTGACGGCCACGATGTGATCTCACAAGCCGTCCCAGCCGAGGACCGGGCCTATCTCGATAGGTTTGGCAACGTCGGAATCTATGACGGTGGAATAGACCTCCTCGTCCAAGTAAGATCCTTTTCATACCCTTTTACTTTCTTCTTTTTTTGTAGATGTCATCATCGTCCTAATCATTCCGTTTTGCAGGGTGCCTTCATGCTGATGGAGAGTCACAAGAGGCAGCAACAAGAGATCGCTCGACTGAAAAAAGTTGAGCGGAAGGCTGCCTCGGCTGAGGAGGCCATGAGTTGCCTGGATCGGCTTCGGTGCGAGGTGGAGGCCCTGAAGAAGAGGGCTGATGAGGCCGATGCGGCCTACCGCCAAGTGACTGCTGACAGGGACGATGCCCTGGCCAAGTTTGCCAGGGAGAATGAGGCGCGTGAGGCTGATCTCCGTCGTGCTGGTGAGGCCGAAAAGGACAAAGCTGAGGTCGAGAAGGTTGTTGAGAAGGCCGTTGATGCCGCCATTGAGAAGTTTCTGGTTGACGGCTGGAAAGCTGAGGAGTCCCGACCTTGGTGCTACGAGGTTGTGGCGGCCAGGCTTGAAGATTGGGGCCAAAACAGCCCTGACGGCCAGGAGTACTTTGAGAGGGAGATGTCGGTCTATTACGACCTGGGCCAACATCGGATGCAACAACTTATCTATCGACGGCTCCATCGGCGTTTCACAGAGCTGAAGTTGACGAATAAGTTTGCCGCCGAGCTGAAGATGCCCCCGAAGATGAGGGATCCGGAGGCCGAGGTCAAGCTTCCTGTGGAGGAAAGGCAACCCCCCATTCTGAGCTCTAACATCGGCGAAGAAGATTGGGGTGATGACGACATCTTCGTGGATACTGCTTCCTCCAGGGCCGATGATGGTAGTGGCACTCTTGCTCAAGATGACGACGAGGGAGAAGCCTGATCCCCCCCTTTTTTGTTGATATGTAACGGCCGTAGTGCCTGTATATGTAAAGGCCGTTGTGCCCTCCTTCTTGTACTTTGAATATTTGAATGGAAATGTTTGGCTGCCACTTCCGGCTTTAATGTCTTCTTCGTCTTGTGCCCCCCCCTCCTTTTTTTGTTTGTTTTTGTTTTCACTGAAATTCTTCCAAGTGTCAAACAAAGGCTCAGGTAGTTGCCTTCTTTGGGCGTGGCCGATTAAGGGTTCCGCCCTTGTTCGGCCGATGGGAGTTTTTCCACTTTCGGCCAAGGAAAATAGGTGGTTTGTTTCCCTTTCATGCCTTAGAATCTTTAATGCCGTCTTCCTTGGGACCCTTGTCGGCCGCTCGGGATGCCAT